TTGGAGCAGTTATCAAAACCGATTATATAAGTAAAGCTCCGATTTATCAGGGCTGCACAGAACAAAACTCAGAGGTTTTACCAGTAAACTACATGTGACTTTTTTTAGAAAGGCGATCGGATTATTGTAGACCCATTGTAACAAATGGAAATGGTTTGCTGTTATAACCGCTTATGAATATTACTGAGATCTTTGTGCTTCCTTTTAAAATAAACCCATCTAGTTCATAACCATAACCCATTTAATTAACAACCCACTAAAATCTTTATAATCTCGTTGGAATTCAGTAGAAATGTTGATGTGCTTAATCCAATCCAAAGAGAAAGGTTTGATACAGGCCTTGAATAAGGCAAGGGAGGGGGGGAGGTGGAGGGATTCTGGAATATAGTTCTAGAGGGTGGGGGTAGAAAAGCTGCAGGCCCATCTGCCAATGGGTGGGGGACATGGAGCAGGCCAGTGCAAGCTGAGTGGAGGGAGCGGACAGGTTGGTATGGTGTTAATAGGTTGTAGAGGTAAGAAGGAGAACTGTTCTAAAGGTGATAGACAATGTAAATCATGACAGGCTATTTCAATTAGTCCAGAATAGTAAAAACAGAGGACACAGCCTGCGATTGAAGGGGGGAATATTCAGAACTTCTACGGATTCTACGAAAACACTATTTCAGTAAACCTGAAATAGTGAACCTGTGGAACAGGCTCCGTAGGGAGATGATTGAAACAGGAAATGTTGATTCCTTCAATCACAGATTAGATAGTTTTCTTTTAGGAAATAGCATTATGGGATATAGTACATAGGTAGTTTGGGACACATGTGAATGCGACAGCCAGGAAGGTGGAAGGCGAACTAGATGGACCTTGGTCTTTACTTCATCTAGCAATTCTTATGATTTTATGTTCTTATGACCATGGAGGGCTTTAAGAGTGAGGACAAGGATTTTAAACTTAATCCTCTGGGGAATGGGGAGCCAGTGGAGTTGGACAAGGATTGGGTTGCAGAGTTCTGAATAATCTGCATCTTGTGGAGGGAAGAGTTGGGAAGTCTGGTGAGCAGGAAATTAGTGCAGTCGAGCCTGGATGTGATAAATGCATGGGTGCATTCATCACTTGCAGGCTTGATTACGCTACATTGTAAATATTGGTTTACATTATCATTATAGCAGACATCTTTTCAATTTTTTTTAGTTTTGATGTTAACATTTTGAGTGCAGTGTGGTAATGTCAAATCATTCCCTGCTCACGTTATTGAAATGTAAACAAATTTCTGATGAAGGGTCGTGGACCCGAAATGTTGACTCACTTTCCTCACTCCATAGATGCTGCATGACCTGCTGAGTGTTCTCAGCGACTTCTGTTTTTGTTTCAGATTTCCAGCATCTGCAGTATTTTGTGGGGTTTTTTAAATCAAATTTCTGCCCAGTACATTGATAGAGAACATTTTTGAGTGCCTATGACTTCAGATGTGTCTCAAAGTGCTTCACATCAATTATTGTCACATGTAGTCAGTTGTACTTTTTATATAAATGTGGCTCTCATTTTGTGCACAGGACATTCCACAAACGACAACAAAAAAATGTTTTATATTGCACCTTTCACATCGGCACAGACATCCATAAACAGCCAATGACCAATGGATTTGGAGGATTGCTGGCCAGGACCCTGGGGGACATTTTTTTTTCTTTTTGAATGGTGTCATGGGATCTTTAACACCCACCTGAAGAACAGGCAGGTGAGATCTCATCCAAGTGACTGCATCTCTGACAAAGAAATTGATTTTCTCCCAGTACTGCCTTAAGGGCAGCTTAGTCTATCATCTGAGTGGGTGCTTGAACCCACAAATTTCTAACTCAGAAAATAGATACATTAACTTCAAATACCCATTTGGTGTATTTTCCTGTTGAAGCCTATGTTGAACTAATATTTGATCATGCCATGTTCTGGTCAATATGTATTAATATTGGCAAAGTATCTGGACTAAGACTCCGAATTCTATCTCTTTGAAGTTTATCACTAGAACGGTTGGACATTAAAGCATATAATAGTGTTCTGAGAATTGATTGATAGATTAGATAGATTACCAAGGTTAGATCACAACAATATTATGCTATTAGGTCTGTGTATAAAGCAGAGTTGCAAAAGCATCCTTAAATTCATAGCAATCTTCAATTCATAATTCAGTATTATAAGCAGGTCCTAAAGCATAACTGATCATTACTAGATAGTCCACATGAAAACGTGATGGAAAGAATAGCTTTATACAATGTGTCATGAGCAATACCATTTAACTTTCTATTTCTGTGGCGTGAATTGAACAAACCTACAGACGTGCCTTGTGCTATCAGTTTTCTTTATCCTACATCAAACAGTAGGATGTTTATCTTGAATCAGAAAGCTTCTACAAACATTTCATATTATAGTCAAGAACACATTTTGTATTGATTCTTTTCGTTGCTTCCTACAAATGCTGAGTTACTATTACATGGGCGACCACCATTACAACTACAACATTAAATTTACATTTATATAGCACCTTTCATAATAATCCTTGCATGTATAGCACTTTATTACAGCTTTGAGACATCTCAAAGCACCTCACAGAATACACTGTAAAATGTACAAAACACAAAATACTGCAGATGATGGAAACCTGAAACAAAAACAGAAGTCGCTGGGAACACTCAGCAGGTCAGGCAGCATATAAGGAGAAAGGAAAGTGAGTCAAAGTTTTGGGTCCATGAACAGTCTGACGAAGGGTCGTGGACCCGAAACGTTGCCCAACATTTCGCCCTGCCTGGGAATCAAACCCAGGTTCTCCCGCTTGCGAGGCGAGTGCTCTAACCACTGAGCTACAGGACTTCACATGTGGAAACCCACCACCATGTTTGAGTATCCAGACTGAGATTTCCATGTATGTTAGCAACCTACACTTGCAGATTTCCCTGTGTTGGAATAGTGCACTCTCTCCCTGGAGGGATGCCTGCTCATTTAATTACAGTTTGAAGAGAACGGGACTCCAGAGTATGTAATGCTCACTGCTGGAGTTTAACAGCTAAAACCGTGATGCTTGCCATTGATATAGCTGTCTGGCAAGCTTACCACTGCTTGTCCAGCTAAAACCACCCTACGTGTTAGAGCTGTGGCTTGTAGGATTAACAGGAGCTGAGTGGGAAGAATCCCTGCGGCTGGTTGCCTGGTCTGCCCCTCCACGTCTTGCCCATGAACCAGGCTGGCTGGTCTGTCAACAGCAGTGCCCTGGAATACTGCGGACCTATGGGCTCAGAAATTGGCTACTGAGACTGCCACAGACACTGGCTTGATTCTGACATTCTACTGTAAGCATGTCACTTTGGAGCCAGTTCAGCTCCAAGGACACTCCACTTACCGCCATCCCTCACCTACTGAATGATAGACTAGAAGTGTACACTTGAACATTTCATTTCCTGGCCAAGGGAGGAGAGCCCTGATGTCTAACCCACATTCCTGACACTGGTATTCTTTTGCCAGATGCCAGCACTATAGTTCAGTGTCTATTTTATTGGTAATAAATGGAAAAGGTGGGCACAGAAATACTTTGTTTATTACCACCAAGACATGTATAGAAGAAAAATAAATTCTTATATGACAAGGACCTTTTATCGCTAAACATTCTATTAATATAAGTGTCTCTCTTCAGCCTGATACACACTGCATAATTATCCAGAACACTTTTTTAAAGCTGTTAAATGGGACTTTGTTGACTAGAAATGATTTGAGGGGAGGGGTCTGATTATCTTCTGAAGGCAGCAGTGAACCCTTTGACCAAAGCTCGGCAAAGCAGCTTTGAGCATCTATGAACAATTAGTAGCAGCTAAATGTAACTCTATCTCCAGTTGTGTTTGCCTGTGGATGTAAGTCTTTTGGAGTTTTGTAGAAAGCAATGCATCATAAATAAATGCCTTTTATTTCTCCCGATGTGAAATGCTCTATTCAAATGTAATTTGGTATTGTATTGTATTTGTATTTGTCTTAAAAGCAGTAAACCATCCAGCAAGAGACTAGCTCAATAAGCTCAGCTCAAATTTTAGTTGAAATTGCACCTGTAGTGTATAACAGCCTTCTGTCAATGTATGTTTATTAATTTGAATTCTTTTGTGACTTTTATAAAGCAAAGTAACATCTTTTTCTTCCTGAACATTACCTTGTCTGTAGTACATGGATTGTTGCTAAATTCAGTTGTCATAAACCTTTCCTAGTCTGGAATATTTTGGAAAAACAATATTCTATAAAAGTCTGTGATTTGAAATACATTGTATGAAGCTTGAATGTTGCATAGATAATGCATACTATCTTTGTACATGTATAACACCACTTCAATCCTTCTGCACTGCCTTAACTCGGATTATTCAAACACCAATAGCTAAAGATCGTTTTCATATGTCTTTAATGGTAAGATTTACGAAAATAGAAGCATACGTAAAAGATTGTCAGTTTTAGCATTTGGCGTGTGATAGACCCTATTTTCTTTATGTTCTAAACTTGTAAATCAACAGAATCTAATGTATGGTTCTAGAAAAAGAGGCATGGGGAAAAGGCAGGAGAATGGGACTAAGTGGATAGCTTTATCAGAGAGACAGCACAGACGCAATGGGCAGAATGGTCTCCTTCTGTGCTGTAAGTTGCTGTGGTTCTATACAGTAAGTGAAGCATAGTGAAATGTGTCTGGTGCTCACAGATAAAATATCACATAACATTGCCATTGGCTTTGGAATGTACCGTGGCAGGAGATACTACTCCAGGAAAGATGACAAAAGAAAGAGTAAAGGACTTTTTAAAAAAACATTCCAGTGGAATCTCAATTATCCACCATTTGGCTCCACATTACTCAAGCCAATTTCACTTTTCATTATAAATCACTGGAGGCAAGATTAGGCTATCCCTACTTGTTGCTCTGTATTAATCCCAGCATTTTCTCACCTACTGAATGGCCAAGAATGTGACCTTATGTTCTGTTTCTTTTTGCACAGGGGAAGAAAACCTGTTGGCAATACTAAAAAGAAGATGGTGGAAGTACATGATCTTGGGAATAATAGATATAGAAGCCAACTACCTTGTAATAAAGGCTTATCAGTACACAACACTGACTAGTGTACAGGTAAAGTGATTTTCTCATTGAGTGAAATAGAATTGAATGAGCTGCTTTCTATGTGCATGGTTTTGTGTATACATCACAGAATCCTTTGTGGGAGAATGTTAATCGGAGTATTGTTTCAGAAAATATTCTGGGATTTTATCTTTACTTGTTTCTCTGCAGAATAAATATGCAGACATCATATAAATTTAATCAGAATTGTAAAAAAGTATCTAACAGAAAGTGTCCACCAGCTTCTTCCTATTCCTACACAGTAAAAGTAATTTTCAGTTGAACTGGTCATTTTGAGAAATCAATAACTGTTAAACACTAAGCCAATCTGTAACAATACAAAATCATTCCAGATAATTCAAAAAATATGATAATTGCAGATTGAAGCTTTTCCTCTCACAAAAGGAACCATTAGTATTCCATGAAGATTAGTATGAAGACTTGAATTTCTGTAAATATCACAGTTGTAAACAAAATGTAACTGATCACCTCGGACAATGGAAATGTGAGTCACCCCAATTGCTTGGTTCCATTTTGGTTTCATTCACCAATCTTCTTTAGAAGAGAAATCACTACTGCAAAATAAGAACTGCTTTTAAATGTTCAATTGACTGGACTTCAAGCTGTAATAATGATTTTAAAAGAGGCTCAGTTTCCTTTTTTAGTCAATCTCCCCATATTTTTTCATATTGATCACCACCTCTCCATTTACAGGTATTTAATTGTCACCACAAAAGTTTAAAATTTAAGCCTTTGTATGAGATAATTATTCACCAATACAAGGTCGAATTCCCCTTGCTAAGAATAAAGGCTGGACATTCCTTATTCTAAAAACTACGGAAAAGTGTTTTTTTTTAAATCAAGACTGAATTTAAGATTATTTAAAAATTCTGTGCAATTTTACATTTTAATACAATAGTTTGTGACTAATGCCATGACAATTTTCTGAGATTCTCTTCCACCTGGAGACTGAATTATTTTTAGCTAACTAGAGGTAAATAAACCAAAATCAGATCATGTAACTGACAAATGCGTGTTTGACAAGGAATTGAACGTCAGTAACATTCTTCCTCTATCAATTGGTTCCTTTAAGAAGCTTTATAATAGCTCTGGAGAAAATAACTGATAATTGACTTCCTCTTATGTTACTTGTTCTCTGTTGAAAAATATGCATGCTGGGAGTTCTCTATATGTCAGCCAGTTTTGCTAATTATTTGTTTGTTGGTATTCCAAAGTCTTACTTCATAGAATAGGTGAGACAGAGGATCACACCCCAGATGGCAAGCTTGTTATCTCAGCCAAGATGCAGACTCTTTTTCTTTCCTCACCCTCCCTTCTTTCCTCTCCTTGAAGGTTCCTTTTTCCTGTGCTGTGTTATGATTACTTTGCATAATATTTTACCCCAAATTAGGTGTCAGAAGCTTTTTGCAATGCGGGGAGCTCAGCTCCACAAGACGGATACTGTGGGGATGGAGAGAGTGTAGTGCAGATTTACTAGGATGTTACCTGGGATGAGAGATGCAACTATCTCAAAAGACTGGATAACTTGGAGCTTTTTTCCCCTGAAAATGAGATGAAAGGGATTGAAAGGGCACTAGACAGATGTGTTTAAAATAATGAAGGGATACAATGAAGTGAATATTAAGAGACTGTTTCCAGTTTTTCTCAATCCATAACAAGGCATCACAAATACATGATTGCTAATAGGTTCGGAGCTAGAAGGCGCTTCGACCCAGTAGATCCCAGTGCATCTGATCTCATCCAGAATCCCAGTCCGCCGCCCTCGCAGTATAGCATCAAGCTGTTTTTTATAAATATGTCCTATGCCTTCACTTCAACCAGCCTTCCTAGTAATCTGTTTCAGTCATTAATTACCCTCTGGGTAAAGAAATACACTGGAAGCCGCTTAAAGTGGACCCCGGTTAACCCCGAATGCCGGGTAAATCGAACAAAACGCCCTTTAGTAATCCCGCTCTAGATTATTCCTTTCTTATGTGTCATGTGATGTTCCTGAAAGAATGGGGTTGAAGATTAAATGTGCAAGCAGAGCATTCAGAATTAGAGATGCCGTTTGAGAGCAAGGTGTAAACAGGACCCAGAAACCGACCTTATTATGATCTTTCCTTGCTCCAACAACAACTTGCATTTATATAGCACCGGGCAGCATCCCAGAACACTTGACAGTGATGGAGCACAACGCCTTTGAAGAGTAACAGTTTCATTGCAATCTATTATGTTTGAAGTAAATTGAAATGTTAATCTAATCGTACAGCTATAGAAAAGATTTGCGAGGAGAGATTATGGTGAATGAATTCTTGGAGCAAACACTGACCTGAAGAAATGGCCTCCTACTGTGTTATATTTTTCTATGGATCTTTGGAGTAATATGAGTTGTATAGTTTCCAGTGAGGCATATCCACTTGTTCGTTTTACTTGGCATTTTCACTTTATTTTTTAATTGATTTCCCAATCCAAACAGCAACACTTTTTTGAGGGGGAAGGTTCAGCCAACCTTCATCAGCTTTTCGAGTTTCTGTCTGATGTCAGGATGTTACATCAACACGGGAACAAGCCTCACCTTCTTCCTGTCAACATGCCTTGTTTATATTGCAGAATAACTTAAATTACAACAATAACAACTTATATAAGTCCCTTCACGTGGGGTAGCATCCTGGAGCGCTTAAATTACCTTTGTGCACTCATTTCAAAGTCAGAATTATAACTTTGATTTCTGGATATTGGACTGTCCCTGATTGCTGGGCGAAGTCCTGGCGAGGATCACTGGCTTTAACAAACAGACTGAGCACCCAGCTTCAGAGGGGTCAAAAATCACTTTGCCTCATGTAGTGGTTTGGGTAGGGTGGTCCCAGCTGATCATCCAAGAAGCTTGCCAGAGAGTGCTTTCACTGCAAGTTATTGCAGTTTTATCTTATTATACTCCAGCAGTACCCCAAAACACTCTCTAGGATTTTCTCATTATAATTGTCATTGCTGAACATGCAATGTGTAACACTGACCAGAATTTCTGCTCATGAGTTTTGACCTGGGTACCTCTGAAGCAACTAAGTGACTACGGCAACATTTTAAATTCTAAATCCAGAACTCCAGTTGCTCACTGAGTTACGTCATCAAATGCAAGGATAATCAAGGGCTACTGAAATTCAGTTACTCCACTCTATTGCTGGTGTTCTCTGTCCTGTTATATGTTGCTTTCCTTCACTACTTTGATCACTACTGAACGTCTTACTGTAATAACCTTAGCACTTCGAAGAATTTTGTCCGTGAGACATAAAGAGCTGACTAGCTTCTTTTTTCAACTTTCAATGATAAATCAATTTGTTACCACCAGACTTCAGAAACTCTATGTGAGAAACTCTTATTTTAAAATCATTTGTTTGCCACTTAATATTAAGTATAAATTAATAAAACTGTTCAATCTTCATTCAGCACTTCCGGTTCAAAAACTGACTGCTAGTTTTAATTTAATTCATTTTTAACAAGTTACGCATTAACATTTATTGTTGAACTCAATGCCCGAGTCACCTTTCTTTCTCTCCTTCAACTCTGCAAATCAGATTAACGTTCCTCTCGAATGGAGTGGATGAAGTCTAATTGAGGCATGATGAAAGGTGAATCCAGTTGTCCTGTGTTGTTTACACAGTTGGTCCAAATACCTTGTATTGACCTTTCCTCACTGTGCTCCTCAGAGCAGCCGTTGCTCATTAACCACTTTGTTCTTATTTGCCAGCGTGACTCCCATTTATATCACCATATCACCACGAGCCGCTTCATATATCTCCTATTTTTCAAACACAACACTGTTTGCCTAACATTACATTCTAGATAATGTAACACTGAACCTGTTGAATTTCATACTTCATAGTATTTCCCCAGTTATTTATACATGGCCTTGTATCCCTAAAGTGCCATCCTTCACCTGCTTTTGAAGGGAGTCTGATCCATTTATTTTCAGATGTTAAATGTGTGAGTTTTTGTACGTGTGGGGGTAGGGGAGGGTGGGGTGATACTAACTGCTGACTTTGCTGGAGGTTTTTTAATCTTGAGGTGCTACAGATATGTTCATGTCTCCGGCCTGACAATTGATGTGTTCATTTACTTGTTGCAGCCCTTTACAACATTAGACAGGAGCATCATGATGAAGACAACTGGTGGTCACTGATGCACTGATGTGCAGCCATGTTAGGTCTTCTATACTTTACCCTTTCACCGGCAGCAAGAAATTGCGTGTAAAGCAGTTTTACAAGAAAGTGAAAATGTTTATAAAAGTCTTATTATTTTAAAACGTTGCTTCCATCTTTAAAAATCAGGCACAGAAGAAAGAATCAGCATTTTAAATGGGGCTCAAAAAATGTCCAACTTCTGGTTTGTCGAGTCGCCTCTTAAACCTCTTCCTGTGGTATAAAACTTACCTGTAGGAAGTGTGGTTGATGTCCTTTCCTGCACTGTCTGCTGTACACAAGAAGCCACGCTGATGACACATCCTTCACTGATGTCACTTTCTTCAGAGCATGAAAGTGCAGAAGAAGTGACACCAGCAGTGATCTGAGGTCCTGGAAGTTGGCCATTTTCCTGGTGCTGGAAGCCGGCTAGTCACTGCCAGAAACCGGGTGTACAATGTATCAGATCAGCGTGGGATAACAGGGCTGGAGGCAAGACAGCGCTGCCCCAGATTGGGGGAGGAGGAAGAGATCCATAACGGGGTTCCTTGTAATTACCTGCTACCTTCAATTTTAAAACAAATGTCACCACTATCTTGCCAAATTCTTGATTGTCCAGGACCTTGGGACATCCTCCCCACATGAAAGGTGCTATAAAATTGTATTTGTTGCTGTTGCCTGCCACCAGAGCAGGACAAGATCTCCTTTCTAAACCTGTAGACTTGATTTGAGCGCTACTTAGATAATTATTTGGGGAGGACAAGTTTGCAGGGCTATGAGGAGAGAGCAGGAGAGTGGAATTGATTTGGATAGCTCTTTTCAAAGAGCCGGCAC